TGGGCTACTCTTTTACTAACGAATAGTGGGATTGACCGTCACTTTATAACGCCCCCACGGCTGATGAAAGGGCGAGCATGTTTGGTGTAACGGGGATTCGAACCCGCCACCCGCAGATTACGAGTTGAGCGCCCTCTAACCACCTGGCCATGACGGGCCATTGATTTTAAAATGTATCCTGTGAAAACTTTTGGAAGATGTAGTTACTCTGTAGAAGTTATATTAAAAAAGCCCCCAAGTGGCACAGCGGTATTGTCTGCGGACTTACAATGCAAGAAACCGGGTTTCGATACCCGTGGTGGGCAGAGCACAGATAGCCCATTGTGTAGATTTGTTCTTAATTACAAATAAACAAAAAATATTTGTAAAAAAAAATTAATTGAAAAACTTGCTATGTTTTGTATTGAAATCTAAGGCTATACCATTATGATTCAAACTGTTGGAATTGGTATTCGTTTTGTTTTTTAACATGGATGTTAACTGTATCTGTAAAATGTGTTTCTCATAGTTTTTATCCAGTGTGTCTTTCTAATACTCATGGTATTCTGTATAGGACCTGGTAAAGTACCATCTCAACCGTCAGATCTAAGTATTTCTCAACAGTTACCACAGCAACAGAACCACTTCTCATATAATGCCTCTCCCATGGAGTCATCTAGAACTCCCCCAAAATGTTTAGAAAACCCCCCAGTTACTGTTAGCACCAGTGTAACGCATTGTAGTACCACAACCCATAGCAGTAGCCCAAAAAAGTTATCTCACAACTCTCGTCCTTCGCCCTACGTGAACCCCTCCGTGTATGAAATAGCGGCACGGACGACGGATCTTGACACCCAGTCCATAACGTCTAAAGTAAAGGAGACCCTCTTGACCAACAACATTGGCCAGAAGGTTTGTGACAGCACAAATTAAGCCGTAAATGTATCATCTAATCGTTATTATTAGCCCAAATTTGTAGTGTATTTGCTACTCTTCTGAGTCTATGGTTTAGTATCATCAGATTGAAACAACGTGTAATTTATAATACTAGAAATAAACGGACGGCCTTATAACTCCAAATGTGATACTTTTCTTTTTAACTCTAAACTCAACGTTTCGCTTTAAAACAACCCGTAGAACGCTCCTGAAGAAGTTGTAAAGCGAAACGTTGAGTGTCTAATTAAAGAAATATAACAAACTTGGTGTTATAAGGTCGTTTGTTTCTAGTATCAAAAATGTCTTTTTATACACCAATATGTACTACAGAAACTAAATAATGTGTAGTTTATGTTTTCGTAGTTGTTTTAACTACTTTAACATTTAATTAAAGGAATTATTTTTTATTAAGAAGCTCTTGGTTTCACAACTGATGTCGGAATTGATTAACTAATCCCTGATTTTAAGTATCCTTATTTTTAATTTGTGTGTGGTTAAAATAATTACAACACCGAAATATCTTTGTAATTAATCATTCTCCATTTTAACTGTTACCCTATAGAAAAACGTGACTTCACAATTTCGTTTCAGATCTTTGGAGAGGTTGTGTTAGGACTATCTCAAGGCTCTGTCAGTGAACTCTTGTCTAAGCCTAAACCTTGGCACATGCTCAGTATTAAAGGTCGTGAACCTTTCGTCCGTATGCAGCTGTGGTTGACAGACCCCCACAGCGTTGAGAAACTTCAGGCTATTAAAAACGATAGAAGGGAAGGTAAGGTGACCATTATTAATTATTAAACTACTCCGCACTGACTGGTGGTCAGTGGACTATTTTGTACTTACTTACTGGTCATGCTTTAATGGTTCTGTTAACCTTGCCATTCCGAAAAGAAAATTAAACTCCCTCCAACACTCAATCAAAATAATGTTTACTTTTCTTCATAAAACTAACTCCAGTTAGACATTAACCTTGAAATAAGACCCAAAACTCGAGCGCTTTCGAATAGTTGACTATTCTTCTTCAGGAGAACATAAGTCTCAACTTTTCTCCTAACCCTGACAACATAGATAATGTCGAAGTTATTTCCGACCTTCAAGAACTTGCACGCATATTAAGACTTTGGGAATTTTTCCACAATAGAACCACTAACGCAAACGATATCGGTCCACAGTTTAAAGAAAAATCCACCTGATCACCCCCAGTCAACAGTTTAAAGAAAAATCCACCTGATCACCCCCAGTCAACAGTTTAAAGAAAAATCCACCTGATCACCCCCAGTCAACAGAGAACCACACTTAATGAGCTTTATTGCTGCAATCGAGAATGAAGTAATTCAAGTCATTAACTCTGACTTAAAAGTACGGAATAATCTCTCCTACAACGAACATGACATTATTATTAAACAAGCTGATAAGGGCGGCGCCATTGTCATTCAGGACAAATCCGACTACATTAACGAAGCTTATCGACAACCAACACATAAGTCGTGAAACTTTACAGTTCTTTTCACCTAAACACTCAGTTCCAGGTCGCTTTTACATGTTATCAAACATACACAAACCTAACGATCCCCACCCTTTGTTCTCCTGAAGAAGAACAGTCAACTATTCGAAAGCGGTCGAGTTTTGGGTCTTATTTTAAGTCTTTATATGTGGTTCTTTGTGCTAAATCTTTTATCCAGTTAGACATTGATACACTTTCCATTCTCTCACAAAGTGATTATTCAGTGATTCATTAGAATTCGTTTGAATGGCTATGATAGGCAAAACCAGATAAGATCGTCTGTAAAAAATCATACCTGGACAGAAGTTTTGATAAACGTTGGTTCTTAACGTGGTGCTGCTCTGAAAAACTGGAACTTTAAAATTATTATTAAAGACTCTTCATTTACGCTTAACCTGCCCTGTTAAACAAAGACACTTATTTCTGTGTTTTATCAGAACTTAATGAATTCTGTATTGAATGATTTTCCACGTGCTGTTACTTAACACTTTGTATTGTTCAAATAAAGCAACAAAACATGAAAGAGGTTAATTTAATCGTGTATAATATTTATTGTTTTAAATTGTACTTTTTTGTACCAAACTGAAAGTTATTGAAATTACTTGAAACCCAGTAATATTAAGACTTACTTATTTTTAACATTTTAACTAGGTTTGTATTGTTAACTCGTAAGTATTTCTGTTGAATACTTATTCTAACGTCGTGATATACTGGGAGAGGGGGGCGTTACGTCTCATCTAACGTTGATACGTTTTCTCTTATAGCCAATAAACGTAAAAGGAACGGTGGTGATCCCCACGAAATTAGGAACTCCTTCAAAGAAAACAACATCTTCAGCTATGATCTACCACCACCATCACCATACTCATCAACCAAGAAGCCACGAATCCTTTTTTCTGATGAGCAGAAAGAGGCACTTCGTTTGGCCTTTTCAATGGACCCTTACCCTAGTACTGTTACCATGGAGTTCCTGGCAAGTGAACTTAACCTTTCTGTTCGTACAGTTACAAACTGGTTCCACAACTACCGCATGCGTCTGAAGCAACAGACAGCGCCCCCTGGCCAGCACAATGAATATAAACCGAGTGACAACGGTATCGCCACGCCTGCACTGAGAGAAACGAATACTGGCTTTGATCCACTCCACTTTCGGTCTTTACTGGATGGCCGACTTGCCGAGATCGACAAAGGAAAAAGCAAGGTTTCAAGGATGTATAGTACGTACATCCAGAACGAAAACGACGGAACTCTAGATCTGAGCATGTCTAGTCAGCATTTTCCGCCAGGTGGCAGCAGTAGCTGTAGCAGTTTTCAGTCTGGTCCTTTTGAAACTACTTGTAGAAGCCCCTATGATAATTCAACCAATGATGTCAACGAAGACTCAAACTTCTCTCACGATCGCGTGGTTTCAGAAAACAGTGACCAGGAGTCCGTGGGAGAACAACGATCACCATGTCCTTTTGGTCAGCAGAACAGACTAAGAGAGACACAACGTACTAGCAAGAGGAGGAAACCCGCTATGCCCCAGTGGGTGAATCCAGAATTAGAATATTCTGCTGATAGCGATATCAAAAGTGATGATGATGATGAAGACACACAGCAACGTAAAGACGTCAAAGATAAAGGGGAAATCATCAACGGTGTGTGTGTTCGGCAAGCAGGAGACTTTAACCTTCACTCATTGAAACCAGAACAAGTTATGGAAGTTAAATTAGTTCCAGCTGAAAGAGACGTCAATTGCGTATCTCGGAACGAGGAAAAAACTACTTCAGAAAGAAATATCCGCAAAGAAGAAAAGGAGGAAGGATCTTTTCCAAATGATGGCCTAAAAGTAAACGATGTTAGTAACCAAGAAATCAACTGTGATAGCCAAGAAAGTATAAACAGCTTCAAAATAGTAGACTCGTGCGAAGAAAGAGGAAATAGAGAATAGGAGAGTTAAATATTAAAGTCGTAAATGAATAAGATATTGAACTGATACCAGTTGAATGTATGATAAAAAATTTACTCTAAGTATAATTCGGAATTAGGATCCAAATTCCCCAATCGCCCTCCTCCCACCGCCTCCCAAAAAATAGATGTTCGTTGTTTTTTTCTTGAGCGAAGTGTACTATCAAGTGTCCAACACAGCGCCACAAATGTCTGAATGTCTGTGTTTCAGTGCGCGTTCCATTTTAATTATGAAAATTACCTGGCAATCAAAAAAAGTGAGAGAGAGAGAGAAAGAACTGACTGTTCAGCATTCAAGGTGATCACAATAAGTACATGTGATTTTATCCTCTTTAGCCTCGGTACATGGCCAAAATAAAAAAAAGGGGGATTAAAACAAGTTGTACTTTATTTAGAGATTTTTAAAGAAAACACATCCACCAAGTGGAAACACATCTGTAAACAATATACGTTGTTGTTTTGATTACTTGTCCAGAAATTTTGGCAACGTAACGTGTTTTCCGAGTAATAAAACTTGTGTTATTTCCAAACGTAACGTTACAACCACATGTAAATAGCCTAATATTGTGATCTAGATTAGACTAGCCCAAGCCTGTGTCCAGTCTGTTTTCGTTGCTGACCTTCACTTCTTTGAAAGAATGATCGCTTTAGTATTTTAAAAGGTAATATTTCTTTCTTCGTGTTATTTGAGTTTATCTTATCGAAAAATCTTCTTTCGTCTTGAAACTTACATGTTTGTTATTTATAATGTTATATACGTGTATACTATTATACAGATTTTTGTTTATATATATATATTAGAAGCATACTGCTTACAGTTTTTACTGTTTCACTCGTGCTGTTTCGGGGCATTTGTGCTAATCTATGGAACACAAAAATCGCACAGTTTAAAAGGCATTAATACTGTGACTGAAAACGAATGTTTTTTTTTTCGTAGGCATTCTGGGACGCGGCCCATGTTCAGTAGCAAAAAATAAAAGATTGGTGTGACATTTTTCCAGTTTCGCTATGCATCTCTTTAAACATCAGTATCTTAAAATCACCTTTAGGGTCTTTATGATATGATTTAAACCTGAACAGAACACTTTCGCTACAAGAGCACCGGAAGTGGGGGCAATTGCCCTCTAAAATTTCATTTAGGAGACAAATGGCTCCCCCCCCTAAACGCTCCTATCAAAAAGGAAGAACTAGGAAAGAGAAAAGGGCAAACGAGAAAAAAGACAAAAAACAGAAAAGTAAAGAAAAACAAACAAACATAAACAGACAGCGCCATATCGCTCCTCCGATCATATCCACACAGACAAGAATATATACATATAGCTACATGGGGATAAACATAGTAAGAACAAAAGACATGAGTGCAGTTGACACTGTAGTAGACCTACACACGTAACCGACGGAAGAGGGGAGTGGGGAGAAGAGAGAAAAGAGGCTTAAAATATTAACTCTCGCTGACTTACCCTGAGATAGAAAAACGTTCACGTGACTTATCCTAGAGTTCTGTACCAAACACTTTTTCTCCTCTGTAGGATTTTTTTTTATTTACCACACAGTAAATTGTGACACTGAACTCGCAAGACTTTACAGTGTTTTTTATCAACGAAACCTAGACAACATTTAGAGGTAGCTCGTATCATAAAAGTGGTAAAAAAACGCTAGTTTCCGGGGGCTTCGTTCCCTGGACCTCACTACGCAAGGGCAAGCGCTAATACCCCCTCTCTATGTATTTTGCCCCTACAGTCCCAAAACGCCTTTTCTATATATTTTGACCCTTTACAGTCTCCAAACGCCCTTTCTATATATTTTGCTCATCCAATCCCAAAAACGCCCTTTCTATATATTTTGCCCCTACAGTCCCAAAACGCCTTTTCTATATATTTTGCCCCCTACAGTCTCCAAACGCCCTTTCTATATATTTTGCCCCTACAGTCCCAAAACACCCTTTCTATATATTTTGCCCCCTACAGTCCCAAAACACCCTTTCTATATATTTTGCCTCCTACAATCCCACAATGCTTCCGTTGCGCCTGCCTTCACATTCTGGTGTTATTTAGACCTGAAGAGAACACCTTCATATTCTGGTGTTATTTAGACCTGAAGAGAACACCTTCACATTCTGGTGTTATTTAGACCTGAAGAAACACCTTCATATTCTGGTGTTATTTAGACCTGAAGAAACACCTTCATATTCTGGTGTTATTTAGACCTGAAGATACACCTTCATATTCTGGTGTTATTTAGACCTGAAGAACACCTTCATATTCTGGTGTTATTTAGACCTGAAGAAACACCTTCACATTCTGGTGTTATTTAGACCTGAAGAGACACCTTCATATTCTTACTTCATTAAAGAATAAGATTTACTTTACACACGCACACTTCTTGATCTTAATGGGATTTTAAAATACCTGAGTAAACATAGGTACTGGCTTATTTCATTAAACCTTAAGAACCCCCTGCAAATGCTGTTCCGATTT